AGGTTAAAACTAATTGCAACGTAAGTTGCAACATTAAAAGTTGCAACATATTAATTACAGTTCCCATCTTTAATTCCTAGTTTTATAAGTGGTCATAGTAATTAAATAAGATATATATTTGCTATGTTTTTTCAAAAATTTTTTTTTTTTTTGTAATTTCAAGTAAAGATTTTTTTATTTGTAATACTTTTTTACAATAAAGTCAAATAAATATCTTTATATAAAAATTTATATATTAATATTAATGAGCTAGTAAGAATATCGTTACTTTTTTAGAAAAATGTAAAAGTATAATAAGCAAATTTATCAATTTACTAATTAAATGATCATTATTAATGATTCATTTCTACTTGATAAAAGAATGAATCCAAAAGAAAATTTAAGTATTGATTTATAAAAGATTTGGTAAATTGCATTTCAAGATAAAGAAAATTATATAAGATTGTTTCTTTATTTAGAGTAGTTATCACATAATCATAAATCTCTTTTACAATCCACCTGAAGAGATAATATTAATAAATAAAATTATTTTTTTAAATGAAAAATAATTTTTATTATATAAATATATATCCAAATACTAAGATAAGAAAATGATATAATAAATTTATTTTTTTTTAAAAAATAAAATAAAATAAAACTTTAAAGATATCAATGATTTTAAAATAATTTGATTTTTGATAATTAAATATGGGATAGTAAAAAATTAAATTAATAAAATTATAAAAGTACCAAATCTATTACTACCAAATGGAAATGAATTTATCTTTCTGATAAGACTTTAAAGACTCGCGATTTGTTGGATTATATATAATTAATTAACCCAAACTTACAAATTAAGATCAAATTAAGATCGATTTCAGATCAAATAAAATTTTGAGTGGAGAGCAGAGATCCACGTGACACTATTAATTCGGAGTAAAGGAAGTATATCGTCTCTTTTCTTATAACCTATCGATTTAAAAAAAAACAAAATGTAACGGTAAATTAAGATAATCGATCATTAATTATTGTATATTCGCAGAGTAATCACAATTCTACAATCATCTTAAAGAATTTAGATTCGATATGGAATAAATTTGTTATTTCCCCCTGTTTCCCCCGCTTTCAAAGTGAAATTAAAACGCAAGCTCGAAAAGCGGTGAATAAGAGGGATTGAGTACCCAAATGATTTGATATTTTTTTAATTCAACAATTCCACTTAAGTCAATAGAAGGGAAAGAGAACTTACCAAAAACGGACCAATATCCCTTTCCAGAATAAGAATATATACAACAGTATGTACATTTTAACAACCGCACCCATAAAAAAAAATTTTTTTTTTCTTAATTTTTCTTTACTTTTTTTTTTGATTAAAAAAAAAATATAATGCAAAATAAATATAATAATAAAAATGATGTTTATAACCCGTGTTTTTTACAATGGTTTTTTCTCTCTTTTTTTGTTTTTAAATAAAAAAAGATCAAATAACTAATAATATACATTTAAAAACAAAACTTTAATTCAGCAAGGAATATTTAAAATTGGAAAAAAAGAACGTAAGTGCAAATATCTCACAAATGATAAAATGTTCTCTAAACTCGGGAAACCAAAAAATAAAAATAAAATAATAATACAAAATAATTACAATGGAAAAAATACTTTGCTGAAAAAGAGATTTTTAGATTGAATAAAAAAAAAAAAAAATGATTTAACGATACGCTGTTAATGTTCTTTTTTTTGTTTTTTTTTTTTTTTTTTTTTTTTTTTTGCAAATGCCAAAAATTATTAAATTTCTTCCCTTTTTAATATGTCCCTGCCTGTGGAGAACTTCAAAACTTATCAATCCATGAGAGAAAAAATATAAAGAATTGAAAGCAAGGATGGGATTTTTTTTTTCTCATTAATTTTCCCCCGAAAAGGAACCAATTTTCTAAAAAACATTTTTTATTCTTTCTTTTAAAGTAAATAAATACTTAGTAAATCGTACTATTAAATATCGATAGGCGAATAGAGCAAAAAAAAAGAAAGAACGTCCTAATGTATCCATCAAAAGGGAGGAATGAACGCGGAGAAGGAAAAAAGTGAAGAAAGTATTGCATTATTGAATCATGCAACGACATCTGGCTTTTCGGATGTATTTTTCTTCATCATCGGAATCGGCGCTATTCTTCTTTTGCTTCTTGTTTTTCTTTTTCTTGCCTTTAGTGACAACGGGAACAGAATCGGTTTCCACGGGATACGGTCTATACTCAACGGAGGGCATCTGTACGGGTGCAGGCTATAATGTTTTTTTTTTAAAAAATTAGCATTTTTATTTTTTCAAAAACATCTGATATTCAAAATATTATTAATATAAACATACAATAAGAATCTCGTCAACTTTCTTTTCGGTATATTCTTCACGACTTTCGACTTCTGTGGTTGTTGGAGCTGTGGAAGGCTCTGATGGAGTTAATGACTAGAAAATCAAAATAAAAGAGAGAGAAAAAAGTTTCGTAAACTTTAGTTAAATAGCAACAAAAAATATCAGAACAGACGAAATGGAAAAAACGTACAATTGAAGAACGGGGCTCCAAATCATCATCATCATCATCATCATCGTCATCCATAACCGACATAACGTATTCCTCACGTCGGGACTTTCTTTCTCGTTTAACCTCATTATCGTGAAAAGAAAGATTTGAAGAATCTTCAAACTGTGTAATCGAAGGACTAGGAGGCTCTTTGCTTGTAACTGGAGCCGGTTGTTGATGATTTTGTTTGCGAGGAGCGATGTAATGAGCCGTACTTGAATTACGTGAATGTCCTGCAGAAGAATTTTTTCGTGGGGAACGCTGATGACGACGTGGTGAATCAGGAACTGATTGTTGCCTTTTGTGTGACTTTTTTTGAGGATTATCAAATAAATCTTCAACCTGATCTGTAATATCCACATAACCATTTTCTGGTTTTTTTTGAGAACTAACGATTAAATCAACCATTTGCTCTGTAATGTCCACATATCCATTTTCTGACGTCGTCGTTGGAGATATACTTTCTGATTCCTCACTATAACCAAGTAATGCATCATGATTTGCAAAATGCAATTGTCCATTCATTTTGAGTTTCTTCGCGACAGTAGGTACAATGACCTCATCGTGAGGAATTATAAGTTTCTTTGGTTGATCCAAAGAGTCTATCGGAGATTCCTTTAATTTCTTTAAAGGTGGCTGAGGAATCCTTGATGGAGACTGTGTTGATGAAACATTAACATTAAACGTTGATGAACCAGATGAGAGTGGTGGGGTTATAGGTGGGTCTTCTAACGTGCGTGGAGTAATCGAACTATCGCCTAAATGCGCTAGTAGAGTATTTGGAGTTATTGGAGGAGATCGCGGAGGTGTATCGGGAGGAGTTACGATACCGTCTTTGGGCACAGATTTTATTTCTTCATCCTTATAGTTGTTTGTTGGCATATATATTGTTTTTTTCTTAAGAGTGTTTTTTTGTGATTTTTTCTTATTTTTGGAATTAACTGCGCCAGTCTTTCCATTCAAGTTCATAATAGGGGTTTCTTTACTCAAATTGCCTCTCTCGTCCCTAAACGGTCGTTTTTTCTGGTTTGATAGAGCATTCCGTATAATCGAATCATCTTCCATCTTAATTTCCAACCTTGAACTAGCATTCATGCCCATATCATTATTAGCATTACCAAGGAGGTGAACTCTATCAACATTCAAGTTTTTACTAGTGCGTTGTTGTGATCTATCCGCCTCCGGTCCTACAGCATTCCAAGATTTAGATTTAATAGAAGAAGCCTGATCAATTCCATTGGAAATTGATGACATTCCCTTTTTCAAAGGACCGTTATTTAAATTATTGTCGGTACCTAAATAATGTTTTGATTTTGGCCTGATAATTATAGTGGGAGGATCTGAGCTAGATTGTTCCGAATTCATAATACCAGAATTTCTTGGGATCTTATCTCGCTTTTTAAAAGGGTCTGGTACACGTTGTTCTTGCGGATTGAGATCGGGTTGTATCTCAAAAACCTCTAACCCCTGCTTTTGAACGAGATTTTAAAAGGAAGGGAGAGGGGAGGGAATGAGGATAATACAAAGTAAATAAAGAAAATCACTAAAGAGATTTGATCTCGCAAATCTTTTATCAATGCATGCGACAATAACAAAACGTCTAGAAATTTTGAATCAATCTTTTTACTCACCGTATCTGTTGTACTGAAGCGAATTTCAAAAGCAGAAGGAACTACTTGTGGTCGTTTTCGTGACATTTGTTGTAAAGGATAATGTTCATTAAAACTATTAGAAGGAAAAAGGGTAACCCCCTAGACGTTACTTTTAAATCCTTTGAAGGCTTGAGGTGTTAACGCTTCAAAGTCCTTAAAGAGTTTGAGCAATTGAGAATGTCGAAAGTTATGTCGCAGAGGATGGGAAATAGATAATTCCTTTCCAAGGTTTTTTATTTCGGGTCTAGTCTACTTTAAGCTGTGTGATAATTTTCCTTCTCTTTGTTATGAAGAAAAAAAGAAATATTCGCCAGAGATTTTCTTTTTCCTTTCTTGAGTTTTTTATGCCAACTAGCAGATATTCAGTCGAAAAGGTGTATGAATGTCGGTGGTGGTATGTGAGATTGGTAGGTTCGTTATTTGTGAAAAGATGTTTTAAGAGAAAAAAAAAAAAATTCTAGGCGGATATTTCGCGTAATGGTGATAGAGTAAACTAGACAAAAAAATTGTTTTTTGAATAAAAAAAAAATATATATATATATTTTTTTTAAGCGTTAAATATATGGTCCAGTTTAAAAAAAAAAGGATTAAATAAATAGGAGACAATAGGATCAATAGGATGATGATAGGAACAGGATAAACAACAGTGGAAAAAAAGAGATTTGAAAAGACGGAGTTTATAACAAAAATGATCAAATTAAAAAATAAAATTTTTATAATTACCTTTTTTCTCTTTAAAAAAAATTTTTTTTTTTTTTTATGCTTAATTGTAAAATTTTTGATTTACTCTGTAATTTATATAATAATAAATTTTTTTTTTTTTGGCTAAAAAAGCAGCCCTGCTGCAAATATTCTCCAATATACTCTTTAAAAAAAGTATGATATTCGAATATGTATGTATATATATATATGTTTTTTTATTTTAAAAAAAAAAACTGCGGTCCTCTCAAAGGGTCTTTTTTAAAAAAATAATATATTTTTTTATTTTAAATTTTTTTTTTTTAAGAAAAAAAAAAAGAAGTTAGGAAGAAGAGAAAAAGAGAAAAAAGAGAAAAAAAAACCAACGTTGCAGACTAAAATTGTTAACATAAAAAAAAAATTATATATATATTGTTTTTCTGATATTCACAAACATCACAAAGAATTACAAAAATAAAAAATTTCGAGTTTTAAGCGGGGAGGAAAAAAAAAAAATTATAATTTTCAACAAGATTGGTTCCTATAAAATCAAAATTTTTTTTACAAATACCACTCAAAAAAAAAAATGATTTTTTCCTTGCTTTTAATAAAATTGTGTTCAAAAAAAAATTAAATTTTTGCAGTATAAATGGAGAAAAATAAACTTGTGGATTAATTATTATTATGTGCAACGGCCCAGCGAACATCAAAATTATTTATTTTGTATATATGAAAAGTGACAAAACGGGTTTATCACACATGTTTAATGATAATGTAAATATTGTATTGTAATTAATGTAAACACATATATAAATAAAAACATCAAATACAATACTGAATTTTTATTTCTTTGTATTAATTTCGGTTTAAAAAAGAATTGAATTAAAATAGCTAATCACTTTTTTTAGGATGAAAAATTCGTAGCTAAATTTCTTTTTCGGTGGATTCGGGAAATTATCTCTTCAGTACAACATTGAGAGAAAAATAATCAAAAAATCCCGCCATAAACAAAATAGGCGCAAGTTTCTTTAAACGTAAATTTCGGGGAATGTTTGCTTAAAAATTACTAATCGAAAAAGGCTACACAAATCGTACCATTTCACATTCTTCTAACAGGTTCAGGCAATGTAAATCCTAATGTATTAATTTCATTGCTGCGGAATATCCAAATGCTAACTCAAATTTATTGAAAGGTAAGGTGGTGCGTTTGAATGTTCGAGAGTTCTTTCATACTCTTGTGGCTAAAACATGCCGAGTAAAATTAAATTTCGTCAGATCCAAAAATAATGAGTCAGTGGAGAAAGTCACTAACCAATAAAAAGCCAATAAGGAAATTCTTTATAATTAGAAGGAAAAGGGAAGGATCTGTTCCAAGAATGTGAAGAGATTGCAGAAAAAATCAGTCATTCATCGGAAGGGCGGAATGTAGGGAATGTAAGGACTTTTGTTATAAATAAAAGGGACCCTTTTCTTTGACCCGATGACAAATGGGATCAGGGTTAGATCCATCCTAAATGGAAAATAAGGGGGAAACACTTACGAAATTAATGGCAACCGATTTTCTTATTATGCAGAAGGGAAAAAAGAAAAAAGAAATAATTTAATTTCTTTTTGTTTGTTTCATATCTCTTTTAGGCACCAAAATAAAAATAAATATAAAAAATAAAGAAATGTTTCAAAGATTAACGATTAACTCATTGCACATTAGATGATTATTAATTATAACCTGCTGCAAGGAAAGAATGTTGTGTAAGCACAAAAGGCATGAAAGTGTATCAGCCAGCTTCTTAAGTTTGATTGGTAGATATTTTATCAACAATACACAAAGATTTTTTTTGTTGTGTTCGCTCGTGTTGTGGAGAGAATATAGTCAAGCTGCAAAATGCTGTCGATTTTTTATTTTCCCTCTTTTTTTCATCCTTTTTTTTTTTTAAAGAAAAAATTGTTGACATTGTTTTTCTCCATCATTGTGTTGCCTATTTTAGGTTGATTATATGACAATCAAAAAAAAAATACCAATTCGAGAGGTTAATTTAACTCTTAATTTTAAATAATTTTCAAAAATTAAAAATATCATTAGAATACATTTCAACAATATTGATTAATTTACAAATGCAATAATACAATTTTATTAGTTCCATTCTCGTGTAACAGATGATGATCGGAACTAAGCCGAAATCGGTTAGTCAAAGACCAATATAAAGATTTGGTAAACAATGCTATCACTTGGCTTGTTAACTTTTCTTGAACAACAGAACTTTTTGTCCGTAGTATTTTTTTGTTTTTTCCTTTTCAAAGCCTACCATAACATAACGATTTCAATTGGTCATTTTGTAATATTGTAAACATGTTCTGGTGGACCTTATCTGAAATGATTGATTGAAATCAATTTTTGTCAAAAAGATCTGTTGAAAAGAATATTAGTTTGGTTAATCATTTTGATGATTGGTACATTTTCTGAATTCCCATTAATATTAAACAATATGATCATATGAATAACTTGTTTTCAAACTTGACTTAAAAATATTATATAATATATTTAATTTAACATCATTGTATTATGCATTTTGGGTCATAAGTAATTCACTTGTCCCCTTTTAGTATGAGGAATCCGTGCCACAATTATGTTCTATCTAGGAGCGAAGACATTTGTAATAACTGGTAAATCCCTGCGGGGAATTTAGGAATTTTCATTCTGATTTCCCCACCTCCCTGGCTCCAAAAACCTTGCCCCCGAAACCCCTTCTCCAATTTAGCGAAATTTGTGAGTCAACAACAATCGTCCATCAAACATGTTATCCGGTTTATCCGATTAGATGATGGTTAAATCTCAAGTTGACACAAAATTCGTTATATCCCTTCATCAAATACATTAATAAATAAGCCAAATTAATTAATTAATTTATCATGATAATTAAAAAAAAGGGAAGGTGACAAATTTTTTTCTTCTCAGAGTTCGAGCTTTATTTATACGAATATCAGCCCAATTTTCAAGCACCGCATTATCGTATTAATCAGCCTGTCAATCACAATCCCACAATTTTGTAATCCTATATAAATATCCATATCATCAGGACCAAGGGATCAATAAAAGGGTGTGTGGCTGCTACCATCTATGCCACATGGACTTAAATGTCCATGCAGAATCGTCATCATGAGATTTTGCGCACATAATTTTTAGGGATATCAATTGGGTGGTTGTCTGGCTTCGCATTAAGCTGACGCCGCCTCTTAAGAATTTTAAGCGGGTTGGGAAAAATTTTAAAGGGGTTTCTCGGGTTCGTGTGATAATATTTTAACAAAATGGAAGTGGAATTAGAATTTAAGAATGTGAAAAAGAATTTAGTAGAAAAATTTAAACCTTCTCCCACATTGAATAAACCTCCTTTTCGGTTTTATTGAAATTCCTTTTAAAGACCGATTTCTTTTTTGCACGGTCACAATGCGGATCAATGAATCTTATTTTGCTGTTGTGCTTCGAGCGAATTCAAAACCTTAAACTTAAGGATTTACGGCGCAACTAAATTACGTAAAAAAGGCGTAACCATGTTACACACTGGGATTGATGGTTTTTTTAAAAAAAAAAAAAAAAAAAAAAAACAAACAAATCGGTTCCAGGTGCATTTTTTTTCCCTTTTTTTATTAAACACATTGTTCAAAAAATCCTTTCTTCTTCTAGCAAAAAAAATAATATTCTTAATTATCGTTTTTTGGTTCTAATTCTGTAATAAATAATGATCAAAATGTGTGTACCTTTTCGAAATTAGAATTTTTAGGTAACGGAAAAATGACAATACCTTCTAGACTAACTTTTGTTCGTACAGTGTGGCAAAATTTCATGGAATACAATGGATATGATAAATTTATTATAGGAAAGGTAAAAGATATTGTTAAAAAAAGAAAAAGTACCATTTAGTTATTGTCCACTATACAGATAGTAAAACAATCTATTTGTTTTAATTCGACTTTTTTTTTTTTAGATGACAATAACGGATGCAATCGATGGAAAAGTCACTTGTGAATTACCCATAGAGAAGATCCATTTGGTAAAATCAAAGTGATTTTTTTCCTTTGTACACCTTTTCTTTGAAATTTAATAATGCTTATTTTTTTATTTTTAACAATAAAGAATCGCGTAGGGTCTGTGCATGGTGGCCTGCTCTCAACATTGGTGGATATTGGAGGTTCGTTAGCAATTGCATCAAAAGGCATGCACGCTACAGGCGTTAGCACAGATTTGAATGTTACTTTTGTAAATGCTGCCAAGGAGGGAGACGTCATGTCCATGGTACGTCTGACATATTTTAGAATTATAAAATAGTTGTTTTTGGAGTGATTTTCGAAATTTGTTTTTTCTCGAGCAGGATGCCGAATGCGTTAAACTTGGTAAAACGCTTGCATTTACCATAATTGATATAACAAGTAAAAGAAATAAGAAATTGATCGCCCAAGGACGCCATACTAAATACGTTGCCATCGCTCATAAAGATGATAAAAATATAATTAAATGGTAATTATTGTTCATCACGTGCTTCAACCACCCAAACATCAGATTAGTCTGATTGCTGCGGTGAAAGGGAGGTTGATTTCCCCGGTTCATGTACATGTATGCACCTTCTGTAGTAAAAAACGTGGTTTTCAAAATTGTAAAATTTTTTTTTTTTTTTTTTTTTTTACTTGTATGATCAAAAAAAACATCATAAATGACCACCATACCTTTTGCTTATGAGCCCAAAGTTATTATAAGAATTAAAGGTGAAAGTTACCAGTATAGGGTTAGATAGTGTTTGGGTAAAGTTCAAGATTAGTTAGCCCAAATACCGGACCCAGCATATATTTCACTTTTCTTCCCGATACGGGATCATTTTCTGGTTTGAGTGTTATGTTTTAATATATATATAGGGATTCCTTTCAATTTCATACCAGCCAACCTTTTTTTTTCATTTTTTAAAGGCTTCCCCCTCAAACATTTTCCAACGCTGAAAAGCTTATCACATACAAATCATTTTTTTTTTTTTTTGTTTTTTAACAATGTCCAATAACTCATCACGTCATTATCACTCATCATTTTCACCACAAGTATATAGTCATAATTTTCATGATTCCGTTGAAATTTCAAGATTTAATCATCAGTTTATTTCATATAACAACGATAATATGTCTTCCTCCTCTTATGTTCCACATATTCTAACTTCCACACCTACACGACGTTCTTCGCGATATTCCTTCGCTTCAAATGACTATAATACGACGACCACAACAAATTCTCTACCTTCCCCTGTGCATTATTCATCATCAAATGTAACATCCCCCTATCCTTTCAATACACCTTATCATGCTACCTCCAATTTCAATCCCAACATTCCTAACACATCAATATTCTCTTATGATCAATTCGTGGTACCGCTACCATCCACTACGACGACAACTGTTGGAGGTTTTTTGAGATTCTACTCCAATGTTATTATTGTACTGTTTTGCTTTGTTTTATCGTTAATGAATCTTATCCTATCGTTACCTTCATTCATCATTATGCTAATATAGATTCTTTCTGGAACGAAGCTTACAGAAATCTCCTTCCTGCGATCCCTCTGCAAAATGTAACGATACCACAACCTCAATTTCCTAAATTATCGCTATCTTTTGATTACCTATATCAACAAGAACCACCTCCACAAACTTCGCAACCGGAACCTGAACCTTTACACCCCCCATCTCAAGAATGTCAGGAGCCACGCGAATCAGAGAAAGAAAAAAAGGATGGATGTAAAAGGAGGAGAAGGAAAATTAAACAACAAAAACTACGACAACGACAACGACAACAACAAGATGAGGAGGAGGAGGATGATGAGGATGATAGAAGGATCGCTTCAAAGCTTCATCTGTTAAACCTATTTGTCACAATATGTGGACACATTAATGCAAAATATTCTCTTCGTTCTTGGTCAAGAAATGACAAGTGTTGTGCTATTCTTCGTGTACCAATCCTAAAGAGATCTTTTGGAGCTTTTAAATCCACCAAAAATCTTGCAAAGGAGTTGGTAGCCGAAATGGCAATTGAAGAATTGATTAAAAAACAACCCGACGCTTTTTGTGTTATTGAGAAATCCAGCGAAATCATGGATAATTGTCGAGCTAAAATTTTTATAAATAATATTATAAATGCTAATGCTGATGTTGGTGAAGAAGAGACACCGATTTCAATTTCCCCTCCGACTTCCACTGTAACAACTTCAATTGAGAATAATATCATTAGGGAAGAATTAAATGAAGATAATGATGTCACGTCAACTTATGAAGAAAGTTTGGAGGATTCTACGGAACAAAGTACTTCTGATAACGTTTCTTTTAGTACACCAAATACTTCCTCTTCTTCAAATGAAGAAGATTTGAATGAAGATGATGAGAATAACGATAAAGATAATAGTAGCGAAGCATCAGATGAAACTATTGGAACTCAAGATGGAATTCCATGAAGGATAATAATAACCTGGCGAATCACGTTTGAAAATTTAAAATAATTTGGGAATTAAATACGTTTACAGTTAAAAATCATTTAATATTTTTCTTTCCTATAATTCCTTTATTTTTTTTTCCTCCTTTAATTTCTTTTAAATACGTAATAACTAAATTTTCGTAAAGATATTAACTTTATTAGTGTAATTCAACCTTTAATAAAACGAATTCATTGAATGTAACTTTCAATTATTATGGAAAATTCTTTTAAATTTATTTTCAATATTTTCTTACAGAATATAGAAAAGAAATAAATAAAAATGGAATGGTACACAGTTTCGTAGGAATTGTGACCTAATGAAAGAGATATCAACTTCCTGAAACAAAAAAAAATGATACTTACGCGAAATGAGAAAAATAAGGTTAAAAAAAATTAAATAAATTAAAAATAAAAAAAAATGTTTGTTTACAACTATTGCTGGACCATATACTTACAATCTTTTCTCGTCTCTGCAGATAATGTTCAATTAACATAATAGTAATGTTTGTTTATTGAAGTCTGCTTTCAGAGTTTATATTATTAAAGTTAAACTTTGACTAAAAAATGGCTTTATATTCCTACAAGCCTGAATTGGTTTATCTTGGTCCAATTTGGACTCGCAAGCATTGTACTTTATTAAAATCGCGAGATGTTTGTAGATTTCATATTTCAAGCTCAATTTTTTAATGCCGTAATGCCGGCCAAAAATCTATTCTAACTTTGAACCCCTTATTTTTGAGCCAATTAAAAATTTCTCATAACAAAAATACTTCCTGTGAAATATTCTTTCTTTCATAGTTGAGATTAATCCTATTATTATAATGCTCTCTTTCCGGAAAAAGCATTTTCTTTGGCTTGGACATATTTGGCGAATTCGTGAACGGAGGGTTGCGCTTTTCTTGACAAACATCCGTGTTTGCTGAATTCCTTGAAAGTTCGGTCAAGTTCGGACAAGATCGGTTTGGAAAAACAACAAACCTCAAAGCTTAAAACATTCTTTTCCCGTTTTTACGATAGAAACAATTGAAACAAATACTTTTCTACTAAATTCTAATGTTCAAAATGAATCAACATCAACCTCTATTCACCCATCCATTCACCAAAGACTTCACCATCGCAAGTGTATAAAGTCGTCTTTTATGATGATTCTCGTAATTTATCATAAAGAATACAATCTCCTTGTTGATGTGTCCCGTGTTGATTAAATCCAACTTCAATTCTTTTCGATTTAACAAAATGCCAATTCAATGGTCAATTCCAGAACGGAATTTTTTGTTGACGACCGATTAAGAGAGTTTCATTTTACTTGGTATTGGAGATAATCACTTCCGATACTCCAAGTTCGCCACGCTCGACTTTCGTCAGAATGCCTACCCCTCCACCAAAATTAATGAAATATTAAATGAAATTATATCATTTATAACTCAGCTTGATCTTGCTAAAATTAAATATAATACTCCAATAGCATGTGGAATTATAGATGTTTGTCAAGAAGTAGATTTTAATTTTGAAAATTTTCTCTGAAAGTGGTTATATAACTCTCGCAGTTTCTAGATTTCTAGATCCAATATTCATATATAATGAATGGATCTTTAGACTTAATTGGTATATTAATCTTAAAGGAGGATCCTGTATTTGTATTTATAAGACTCTTAAATATGCATCACCAAGTAGATAAAGTTGAATTGTTGGAAGATTGGAAAAATAGATTTAAGGTTTTAACAACTGACCTCCAATATAAGATCAAAAGGAACTCAACTATGTTAATTGTAGATTAGATTTAATTCTAAAGTATAAAAAACAATTTGTATCTTTTTCTGAATTGTCAAAAGATCTTAAAGTAATTAAAAAAATTAATCGGGATGTAATCTTAAAAAAGGTTTCAAATTTTTTGGGAAATAAGATTAAGTCAATGGTGGATAAATATTATGATATTATTCGTGAAAAAGAACATAGAAGTTTTGGAAAATTAGTTGGTCATGATCTTGAAAAAATGCTTTGGATTCTTTTTCAGATTCATACGCTTACAAAAAGGTTACTGGAAAGAAATCTAGTCTAAAAGAATAACAGATATTTGATATGATAAAGATATAGTTGCAAAGTGGTTTTATAACAATGTTAAAACAGATATGTGTTATAAAACAAATTTCTAAAGAAATTTAAAAATGAAGTTAATTTGAATGAAAAACAAATTATAGATACATTGTTTTGTACTGAAAATTATAAAGCTATTGGTCATTCTAATAATGATAAAACAGATTATGTATTAGGATATGTTTATGAAATTGGTGAAGTAAAAGAAAGTCACTTTTTTTTATCATGAATTTGGTATAGCAATCAAAATAAATTCAAATTCAATTTGGTATTGGTTAACCTAAATTATTTATGAAATGATTAAATTGGATTTAAGTGGTGGTGGAATCAGATATATAGCTGCAATTTTATTAACTGAAAAAATAGTAAGGATAATTGAAAGGAAAAAAAGTAAAAACATAATTTTTTATTATTTTTTTTATAAATTTTATTTTTAATTTATTTCTTTTATTTTTTTAAATTGTAAATTATTATTTTTTAAAAAAAAATTAATTTTCTTTTTATATTTTTTCAAAATATTGGTTAAAATATTTGATTAATTATAATATTATTGTTTGATTTTATTTAAATTTTTATCACGAAAATTTTCAATTACGATTTAAAATATGAGAGGTTTTCTAGGAAAATGGGGCTCTGAGCATTTTTTATTAAAATTTTAATTTTTATTACATTTTAATTTTTGATAATGTTAAATTAAAATGCAATAAAAATTATAATTTTAAAAAAAAAATGCTCAGAGCCCCATTTTCCTAGCAAAACCTCCCATATGATATAAATTATTAGCCAAATACTTTTTAAGATGTAATTTGTTGATCATTTCCTAAATGGTACATTAAACATGTTTATTATTTCCAAAAATCTA